AGTTTTGTCAAAAATAAAAAAAAAATATATATATATACATATATATACATATATATATTACAGTCATACTTGCTTATGTTTAAAATGTTATAAATATTAAATACTAAAGTAACATTTTCTTGCATATTTTGCAAGACAAAAATAAGTATTCTAAAATACTATCTATAACAGTAGAAAACTATTATTCTTTTTTATTCCTCCTTTGTTCAGCTCCTTTGACTGAGAAGCTCATTTGCTTTTTTGCAGATAAAATATTCTGTGACTGAGATTAAACAGCAGTCTAACATAAGTGTGTTTGTGTGTGTGTGTGTGTATGTGTGTGTGTCAACATATGTATCTTTTTTAAAACTTTTGAGGCAGAATCTTGCTATATAGCTCAGGCTGGTCTTGAACTCATGGAGACCCTCCTGCCTCAGCCACTCAAATGTTGAGATTGCAAGGCTGCACCACCACACCTGGCTATCATTCTGCTATTGCTTTTATTTCTTTCCTCTCAACCAAACCTGAGTAGATGGGGAAAGAGTTCGGTAGAACTCAGCCAGCAACTTTCTTCTTGACTTGTAGAACAGACTTTGAAAACAAGATTTGAAAAGTAAAAATAATCACTACTTTATCTCTGTGGCTACAAATAATTAATTAAACATAGTAGGTTTTATTTTTTTAAAATAGTTAAGTAGGTGTTTACTGCATTTATTCTAGAGGCTGGTGCGTGAGTATTCTGTAAATGACATTTACTATAATTAGTCACTATAAAAGACATTTATTTCCTAGCTTGCTGGACTCATCGAGCTCAAGGACACAAAGCCTACATACAGTGGCACATGGTATGCGGAACAGACAGAGGTAGTCTTAACCCTTACCTGCGCTGTGTCACATGCACGGCCACAGCTCCCTGCAGCCGTGCCTGCAATGCTGTACATGTGCTAAGGTAAAGGGCCCGTTTCCTGAGCTGAGAATCTCAGTTTTATTGTGTATAAAACTCATCTAGGTCATTTGAGAAAAACGTCGCTCTGGTCAACACTTCCAAAGATACTGATTTACTAGGTTTATGAGAATCTGCATTTTATAGTCAACCTATATGACTTCCAGAACTTTAAACCTGCTTGTATCTTGGGACTTTTTAGGTTGGTTATTCACAGTGGGCCAAATTTACTTAAAATGAAGCAGCAGTGGGTTAAGCAAAGTAGCACTGTGGACACCCTCCTGTCCTCAGGAGCACAAGGAAGGAGTGAGTATCTCGCTTGTGAACCCAGCATGGGCAATTTAGTGACTTAGTGAAATCTTGTCTCAAAATTAAAAATGCCAAAAAGGCTAGGGATGTAACTCAGTGCAAAGGCCCTGAGTTCAGTCCCAGTATCACATAAATAGATAAGTAAAAAAACAAAGTAAATAGAGCAGGATGATTTTTTTCAATTAAATGCAACCTCTGAAAACTTACAGAAAATAAAACATGAACTGAATCAGTTCAGTGATTTTTATGAGTTGATATTATTCATACAGAACCTGGATTCATCTTTGGACTGAAATTTAATTAAGGAAGATTCAATTAAAGCAGATGAAAAATACAGGAAAAAACCCTCACCCCAATTTTTACATTGTCAGAAGGCTTTATCCACCAAGCACTTTCCTTCCCGTGTTTTTTTCATGCATACCATGAACCACACAGGGGACTACATCATTATCTACCTGAAAACATGCTCTGAATTGCATGATGACACTGATAAAACATTTGCACGGATTTTTAGAATTGTGGAGAGAAAAAGGGACAAGATAAATAGGTCACTGAGCCATGAGCCAGGAAGACCAGGCTTCTGGTGACTGCAGGGAGGCCCTTGCGGCCTTGGGGGAGTACTTTGCTTTCCCAGACCCTCTTTCTTTTCCTTTGTACAATGACCGAGCCCAAATAGTTTCTGTTACGGTGGAAACATCATGGAATTTGGAGTCAAAGATACTGGGGTTTGAGTCTAACTTCAACCAGCTACTTGATTTGGGAGCTGAGGAAGTCACTTAAAAAAGATCAGCTTCCTTATTGATAAAACAAAGATTATAAAAAGATAGCCAAGTCCTCATTGGGTTAATGTAAAAAATAATGTAGAATTTACCAAATTATTTTAAAAACTATAAGAACTCTAGCAAAGCCGGGAGAGGTGGCACATGCCTGTAATCCCAACACTTGGGAGGCTGAGGCAGGAGGATCGCTGTGAGTTCGAGACCAGCCTGGGCTACATAGTGAGTTCCAGATCTGTCTTAAATACACAGTGAGACCCTGTCTCAAAAAAACAAAACAAAAACTCTAGTAAAAATCATTAGTATGCTAGCTAAGATATATTTTCTGGACTATAATAGAAGAGTTGTTGCAAACAAGCTCTGGACCTTATAAAATATCAGTAAAAGTAGTTTCAGGATCAATATACACTGTGGTGCCTCGTGTGCACATTGGGCAAACAGTGGTTTCAAAAATTTGCACAGCATATTTTCATTTAACTCATGCATAAGAGAAATAGCTGTCACAGATGCCTACAGCTGCAGAAGTAAATGTAGGTGGGAACTATATTTAAATTACTTTCTCAATCATACACTGATATAAGTGATTGGTATGTAAGTACTGTAACAAGAAACTAAATCGTCACAGTGAAGAGGGAATGAGACTGCTGAAATAACCTTCTGAGAACTTACTATGATATTTGGTTTGGAAAAATTGCTGTTCTCACAACAAAGTTGCAAGAGGGCAGATGGAAGGATAAATTAAATCTCTCTCCTAGACACAGAGAAATAAGACCCTTCCCTCTCACTCACCTACCAAAATTCATGGTGCTAAGATCCAGCCAGGGAGGGAAAAAGTGAATGTGATCAGGTCAGAAGGGACAGTCACTGCCTAGTGGCAAGGGGTTCAGCCTCTTTGTACCGGAAGTGTCCAAGTTCCAAGGTCACTGTGACGCCACAGGAACATTTAAAATGGGAGAACCCAGACAGGACCAATTTAAAAATTAACAAAAAGACCATATAGGCCGTTCTCTGGTTTTAGTGAAAGGAGATTAAATGGCTGATATTTTTCAAGGGGCACATAAATAATCTTTTTAATTTGAAAACTCCTTGTGTTTAAGGAGGTGAAGGACGCAGCAAAGCTGTAAGCACTGCTGTTTCTTGTAGGGCTTCACGTCAGGAAGTAGACCGCGTCTTCGTCTACTGAATATTTTGGTGGATTAGCCAAATTTGGGGGGGCTAGGGGAGAGTTGGGGGGGCACGGGAGAGTCAGCGTGTCCTGGTTGAGACGCGTCATGAACAACACAGAAAAATGCTTCTGTGGAACCAGCAAAAATCACACTCAACATGCAAAGACAGCCACAGCATCTGCCCAGGCACTGATAGGTTCAGCACAGGGAAGACCACCGCCTTCCAGATGCTGACCATGGTGGTTTCCTGCCCCCTGCACACCCACTGCACACCACCCACACCCCATCTCACCTCATGCCGGGAAATCTGAGCTTGCAGCTCCTGGATGTTGCTGGTGGCCACAGGCTTGTCCTCGATCTCTCTGTGAGCTCCTTCTATCAGCTGCTGCAGATGCTTCATCTCTTGCTCATATTGTTCGTACTGCACCACAGCCTCCTTCGCAAAAACAAAAAAAGAAAACAAAGTGTGATTTTCTTTCTGGATCAGTAGCTGGTTAAGTGGCCATATCACTGTCGGCCAAAACCAGCGTTCACTCCTATTTCCTTGTGTGTCTAGGAAATCACAAAACGATGGGTGATTTGAATTCTCAACCTTTACTTATTACTTTCGTGATAGAATGACTGATGGAATCAAAGACACGAGTAGTTAGGATTCTCCTCTCTTCCTCCTGTTGTCTTGAGGGCAAAACACAATGGTCTGAAAGAGGAAGCAAGATTGTGCACGTCTATCCCTAAGAAATACTCAGTGACAAAAGTAAGACACTCAGCTAAGAGCTGCAGTAGAGGAGGAAAATATGAATCATGCATGGCCTTCTAGAATTAAAGCTCTAACAAATTACAAGGTAATGGAACAAGCCAAAAGAATCGTGCAAATGGACCACTAGTGATTTTAATAAGAAGCCACCTAGGCAATTTTTGATACAGCAGATAAATATTAGTTGAAAAGAGATACATAGTGCTGGGCATGGTGGCACATGCCTGTAATCCCAATACTCAGGAGGCTGAGGCAGGAGGATCACTGAGTTCGAGACCAGCCTGGGCTACATAGTGAGGTCCAGGTCAGTCTCAATTACATAGTGAGACCCTGTCTCAAAAAACAAAAAAACAAATAAAAAACCAAACCAAACAAACAAAAAAGAGATACATAGTACATGGTGTCATTTCTTCATGGTATTTTTTTCCTATTAGGTGAAGAGACTAAGTTATGCCTCCATATACTTCTTTGATAACAAAACACATTTGGTGATTTAATAAGCTAAAATATTTGAAAATCTGCAATATATAACAGGAAACACATATTAACCAAATCTACATAATGCTCAAGTGAATAAAAGATTAAAAGTATATGATTTCATACAAAATTAACCTATACAAGTTGTTCTTTATAAAAAATTTCACCAAGAGGCAGTTTTCACAAAAGGATATTTTTATAGAGCTTTCCCAGCCTTTTGTGGGCCATCCAAATGGTAGCATCTTAACCTCCTCCTTTTATGTTTGTTTGTTTGTTTTTTGGGGTTTTTGAGACAGGGTCTCACTATGTAGTTGAGACTGACCTGGAACTCACTATGTAGCCCAGGCTGGTCTTGAACTCACAGCGATCCTCCTGCCTCAGCCTCCAGAGTGCTCAGATTACAGGTGTGCACCACCACATCTGGCTTATCTCCTCCTTTTATGTGACTACAACAGTCTGTGGAGTTTAGTGGTCGGGATGTGTTTTGATATCTGAGCCCACACAAATGCTAAGAAAAGCAGCTGGGGACTCATGCGGATGGCTCCGCCAGCATGGGCTGGGGGCTGGCACAGTGGCACCTGCCTGCATGATGTTGTACTGCTGGATGGCGGAGTGCTGCAGCCGGCTGGCCTCCTCCTGCAGGTGCAGGGCAGCGTGGCAGAGTGGCAAGGTGGCCACCACGTTCTCGGGGATCCGGAGAGCACTCTGGCAGAGCTGCACAGCTTGCACCTTTGGCTTCAGTGACTCCATCTCAGACAGCAGATGCTGAAAGTTCGATGTCACAGTGGAGAAGTTTAATAGTTTCATCTTTTAGTACCTCAGCAGAAGACACTTACTGAACTATCATTGCAGATTATAAACATGTTGCAAGGAAAAGTCTTCTAAAAAATGCATCTAGTTCTAAGACTAGAACTAATTCAGTTTACTAATTTATTTTGGTTTTTTGTGAGAGTCTCGCTAAGTAGTTCAGGCTGGTTTTGAATTCACCATGTAACCGAAGGTGGCCTCAAACTCATAACAAGCGTCCTGCCTCAGCCTCCCAAGTGCTGGGAATTCAGATGTGTGTCATTATGCCCAGCTTCTACAACTGAATTTAGAAAATATTTTTCCTAGCTACCTTATATTTTAGAAATAACTCATTACTAATTATCATAAATTATTTTTTCTTACCTGTCGAAGTGATAATTGTTCCTTAAGACTCAGGCGCCCAACTTCTGGAGAAGTCAGGGTGGTCTGGGCTTGCTCCAAAGCAACTTGTAAGTTTCTCAGCTCTGCTTCAAATTTTTTCATATCCTCAAGAGCAAAAGCCATTTGAATATCAGTCATAGGTGAAAAATAACATCAGTGTCAAGAAAGCACACTGTACTATTACTGTATAGTACTATCACCTTTTTTTATTGCTTTTTCAGTTGTAGATTTTTTTTTTTTTTTTTTTTTTTCTTTGG